AGGCCTCACCACACCCACACCCAGTTAACTTTAATCTTGTGGCATATTTATTAGATTAGCCTATGTCATCTTCCATGTCCTCCTCTGTGACAAGAATACTGCATTTCTTAGGTCCACTCCCTGGCCCTTCAGCGCTCAGCATCTGGCCAGCACAGACGGGACGCAGGAGCAAGGGCAGACCAGACACCTGCGACCTTGAGTTGAATCCAAGAGCAAAGAAGGCACCAGCAGAGTGCACCAACCCACCCAGAAGTCTTTGTCACGGGTCCTCGTGTTGATCACCTGTTGACCGACAACAAGAACCTCAGCCCCATGCACGCAATGCTACCTTCTTGCATGAATAAACATCATGTCCCCCTGCCTACATTCCCTGAAAAACCTCTCCTTTTCTGTCCACGTCTCTGCTTGCCAGATGCTTCTCTTCCTCCTCTTTCTGCTCGTGTAGTAAAGTCCCATCCCTGCCTGGTCACGCTTCCTGAGCAGGGAAGACCCTTCCATTGGAAGCTTGCTGCAGTGACAGCCAGGGTCTGGTTCCTAAATCTAACTTCAGGGGGCCCATGATGCACCTGCTCTTGACCACAGAGTGTCCACAGAACCCTCTGGCCATACATGCCCGCCTGTGTCCTCAGAGAACCTGGCTATCTGGAGGTCAGTTCCTGCATCTGTTGATCACCACATTGTACAACTTATTGAAACAAGTCCGGCAATTAAATAATTCCAGTCAAACTCTGGCCCGGCAACCTAAGCATTGTAAACTGTGAAATGTAACCGTGGGCCGTGAGAACTCACCTGGACTTGTGCTTTTCACAAACAGAGATAGTAAGTGATCTTTCACAAAAATTCATGGGGGTATCAGGAATACCACGTATGTAAAAGCGGCTTAGAATTGAACCCATCAGCTGCTCTGAAGGAGAAAGCTGGCTGCTGTCTACAACTCCCGAGAAGAGTCACAGCCTCAGAAACTATCTACAGGGCTGCTGTAAGTTGAAACCAATGGAAGATAGTGGATTCGGTTTGGGTTTGTAATCTACTGCTGAGCTAGAAATAAATGATTGGAATAAAACTTGCCTACAGAGAACTGGTCGAAATAACTGGTCGCCAAGGTTAGGGGTCAGAAGGTGTTCGTAGATGGCATCTTTTCTATCTGAAAGAGCATTTCTGTGCCTTCTTGCTGGAGGGCGGTGGGTCTGGGCTGAGTGCAGAGCACAAACGTGTGATGTGCTGCCTGTATCTGAAAGGCGTGTCTTCACCTCATTTTGCCAACAAAACTGCTCAGTGGAAAACCTTTACAACGCGGACTCCAGTTGCTCTTTCATCGTAGGATTATGAGAGCTCTTCGTCACTGATAATCACTTGTTCTCAAAATACAAGTAGACAGAACATCAAGGGAAAGTGCTGAAGTGTGCCTATTTACGATGGGATCTTTTTGTTTTACTTATGCTCTTATGTGGGTCCTATTGAAAGGTCCCCTGAAAGTCTTGTTTACCCCTCCACACATTAGCCTGACAATATCAATAGTCAATCAAAGCACAGCAGGCTCTGTGAGTGGGCCTGACTCAGCGATGCGTACTTGCTGAGCTGCAGCCTCAGTTTAAATCAGGCCGCCCAACCTGCTCATCCCACTGCTGCCTCTCGCTGAGACTTAGCCTTTCCACCCCAGACGGTCTGAAGCAGGAGCTACAGTTCAAGCAGAAGTTTTAACATGGTCCCTGGGTGATTGCATGCTGAAAGGATCCCTTGAGAACAAGGAAAAAGTATAGATTCTGATTTAGTCTACCTGGGGCGAAAAGTCATATTCTGAGCATGGGGCCAAATGAGAATGAACTGGTTCAAATGCCTGGTTTAAAAGCACCTTTCATCCCGAGTTTTCTAAATGGTTACCAAACATTGGACTTAAACTGGCCTCTCCCCACTTATTTCCAGTGTGGTCCCTAGACCCATAGTATCAGGAACACCTGGACCATATTAAACCACCCAAGCCCACTGCCATCGCATCATTCCAACTCACTGAGATCCTATGCAGGGTTCGAAAGATTGTCAATCATTATGGGAGCAGACAGCCTCATCTGAGGAGCAACTGGTGGTTTAGAACCGCAGACTTTTGGGTTAGCAGCCCACCACAACACCATGGCCCCTTGAAACTTGTTACTCGCTGCCACTGTCAATTCCGACTCACAGCGACCTTATAGGACAGGGTTTCCGAGACTCTAATTCTTTTCGGGAGTAGGACGTCTCATCTTCCTCCCACGGAGGGCCTGCTGGTTTCAAACTGCTGACCTTGTGGTTTGGAACTTGTTAGAAAGGCCAAATGTGAGCCAGACCTCAGCTTGAACAGATCTGTGACTCTGGGGTGGGCCCGGCATTCTGGAGTCTAGTCAGCCCGTGGTTGATTTGGATGCTTGCTCCAGTTTGAGAGCTGCTAGTTTAAGAGAAAGGGGCATGAGTCATGCACGCATGAGTCTAAAGTGCTCATTTCCCAATGGAAAGGTTGGTGGTTTGAAACGACCCAGTGGCTCCTTGGGAGACAGAACGTGTGGTATGTTGCTGTGATGAGTATCATCTCAAGAACCCTAAAGGGCAGTTCTACTCTGTCACATAGTCACTTGCTCTGAGTCCCAGTCAACTAGAGGACACCATCTACAACAATGGCTGTCTCAGAGGACAGAGGTCAACAGGCACAGTAGAGTTAAATGCTCAGACTAGCCCAGGGTCATGCGCGACCTTCCCATTTTTGTCCATGACTTTGCCTGTTGGTGAGATTTTGTTCATGCCTAGGCCTCACAAAGAGGCAGACGGCTTCCCAAACTCCTGGCTCACCTTTGGCCCTGCAGACATGCCTTTCTGGGGAAACAGGCTTGGCATCAAGTCCAGGCCTATTTATCCAAGGGAAGGTTCAGATAGGTAACTTCACTGAGGGGCGTCCTAAAAGTGTAATAGTTATTAGATCCTGGCAAGGTGGTAAACCCACTCCCATCAAGCCAATTCTGATCTAACCCTATTAGATACAACAGAATGGCTGGAGAGGGTTTCCAAGGGTTAGCTCTTCTGGCCATCTGTGGTAATTGAAGCACATAGATTGGAACATAGATTCCTAAACTGATTTGACCTGCCAGCCCCTTTTTACTCAGCTCCCCCCTGGTTATTAAACACTTTTGGACTACAGTTCAGGATAAGGTATGGGTATCTGATTTTGCAGCCCCACCCCTGCCGATTATTCCAGCACTGCACAAGGGGCTGTATCCCTCACTGTGGGGAACGCTGGACTAGAACTGAGAAGCAGCAGGATCTCTCAGTCGGGTTCAATCTAAGGCACCTATTAAGATCAGGTCTATGTGTGGATCAGTCAACTCATCTTTAGTCATTCAAACCAACACTTTAGAATACATAACAAATATAAACACCACCAGGACAGTCGAATGGATGAAAACACTTACCTGTTTTGGTAATGGGTCCAGAAGATGGCAGTCATATTTATAAAATATTAAAATAATGCATATTTGAATCTCTAGCAGAGCAAGCCACCTGGAAGAAAAATATAAAGGTTAGTTGGCTGCAAAAGATGCATGAGTTATCTAGTAACAGAAAATAACTAGAAAGCACATCTCTCTCACCGCAATTATGTTTTTCTTTGTAATATAAACCTTTTCTATGAAAGGGAAAGAGTAAGAAAGAATTTTTTCTTTTATAACGCCACTTGCCACATAGCAGAGGGCCCCTGGTGGCAGAGGGGTCAAGCTCCTGTGTGCTAATCCAAAAGTTGATGGTTCAAACCCAGCCAACTGCTCTGTGGTAGAGAGATGTGGCCAACTACCCCTGTAAGGAGAACAGCCTCCGAGGCATATGGGCCTTCTACTCTGTCACATAAGGTTGCTATATACTGAAAATCGACTCCAAGGTACCTAACAATAGCCCATGGATGCTTGGGATGATTGAAATGCTGAACAGTGTTTGTAAAATGCTTAGCCAGTGGAAGCACTCAGTAAATGTGAATCCCAAGGTTTCTGCAATGTTTTAGATCTGTGCTTTCCAATATAGTAGCCATTTGCTACATGTGATGATTTAAAGGTAGTAAACTAAAATTAAATAAAATAAAAACATTCAGTTCTTCAGTTGCATTAGCCACATGTGAGTACTTTATTGCGGGGGGTGGGGGGGTGGGGGTGGGGCTTTTTTTTTTTTTGACTGCACGCTAATTGCCTAAATGTCAGGTTCTGTCTTTTTTATGTAGAGATACTTTGTTAAGCTGTGGACCTTTCTCCTCCCTGATCTGTGTCCTGGGAATGGCCATCGTCAATCACCTAAACTAGACCCACTGCCATGGAGCCACCGTGACCTTCCCTCTGTGGGGTTTCTGAGACCGTACATCTTTATGGCATCAGACAGCCTCGTCTTTGCCCTCAGGAACAGCTCGTGGGTTTGAACCACCGCGTTCTTGCTTAGCAGGCCAGCACTTCATCCACCAAGGCAATAGGCAACCAGCTGGGACAATTGTAGGCTCATTTTCATTGCTTTTTTTTTTTCTCACTTGCAGCACTTTGTCCTGTGCTGCTTATTTTGATCCATCCATGTTATTATTTATTTATTTATTTATTTTTGATAGAAGGGTTGAGTCCTGTTAATTCATCATGGTCAGGAGTAAAAGTTTCAAAGCAGAATTTGGAAAAGACTTGTTCATGAGAAATTTTGACCCAGGTCGCCAGTACTAGCATTGCCTTTTCTTTAGACTGTTCAATTCAGCCTGTATCTGTAAGGATTATTTAAGCCCATCCACTGCCATAGAATCAGCTCCAACTCACAGTGACGTTATTATGGGTTTTCAAGATAGTAAATGGGTGTAGTAGCAAACCGCTTCATCTTTCTCCCATGGAGTGACTGGTGAAGTGCTCGCCACAAGGTGAGCCCAATACTGAAGTGACGGTGCCTCCTTTCAACAAAGATTGGATCGGTCCTATTTCATAGACATTGATAGTCTCTTGGAATAGATCACCGTTAGCATTTATAAGGAGGTGAGACGTGTTCAAAAGATAAGAATTTATGAAGATTCACTGTGGTGCCCATGGGCCTTATAACAATACCCCTAGGGCTCCAGATCTTATCTGAAATAAAATACCGCCAGGATGGCTCAAGAACACCAGTGGGAATGCACACGTGTTGCCATTGTACCAGGTCAACCATATTCATTCATTTACTCAGTCAGCCAAAAAACAAATAAAGGAAAAAATTAAGATCATGAAGATGAAGAAGATATGGCCTGCGCCATCTCTGAAGTTTATCATCTGTACAGCAAGACAGATGCACAAACAGCTGGCCATGCTAGAGCAAGACGAAGCCCTTGGCTGAGACACGTGCAAAGTGCCAGAGGAGCAGAAGCGTCTAGAAAGCACAGGGAGTTGAATCTGCTTCCTGGAAGACATATCCTTCAGACAGCTACTCATCGACTCGTGTCACCTTGGTTAGGCCTCAGTAAGTGTTAAGCTTAGAAGCAAGATGCTACATCTTAGAACAGTGGTTCTCAACCTGTGGGTCGCGACCCCTTTGGAGATCGAAGGACCCTTTCAGAGGGTCACCTGATTCATAACAGTAGCAAAATGACAGCGATGAAGTAGCAACGGAGATAATGTTATGGTTGGGGGTGGGGGGTGGGGTGGCAGTCACCACTACATGAGGAACTGTGCGAAAGGGCCATAGCCTTGGGAAGGTGGAGAACCACTGGCTTAGAAGGAATATGCCTGGAGTGCTCCTTGGAAGCAAGGATGGAGAGACTGCTCGCCTCACGTGCTTGGGACATGCTGCCAGGGGAGATGGGTCCCTGGAGGGCACTGTGCTTGGTAAAGCAGAGAGGAAGGCCCGTGACAAGACGGATCACCACAGTGGCTGCGACACTGGACTCAAGCGTAGCAACGATCATGAGGATGGCACAGGATGGGGAGTGCTTCCTTCTGGTGTGGGGTCACGATGGTTCCAAGTCAACTCGGCTCTCGGCGGCACCCAACAACAAGAATGTGGTGTGCCCTGGGCAAAGCCCCTCAGGACAGAGGAGAGACACACGTCCTTTTCCAGAAGAGAAATGGCTGTCAGCTAGAATGATTCTGTATGGTAGCTCCTCTGGCCGAAATGAGCACGCGGAGCCATCAAATTGGAGAGGGAGGGAATCCCAAGCCAGAGGTGCAGGAATGGAGCCCCGCCCGGGAAAGGGCAATGAGTTTGTTTTGGGAGTTTGCTCCAGTGGCAGAGTGGATGGAGAAGAAACTGAAGGCAGAGAGACCCTTCTGGAAGCTGACACAGTCATCCGGGAAATCGATGCCGACGCACCACCCCGAGGAGGCAGTGGAGAGGCTGGAAGTTAAGCGGAAGATCTGGGAATCCATTTAGAATACACACCTGTGGCATTCAAAGCTTTTGTGTTGATGACAACTGGCTTTGTAAGTCTGCATTTTTACCAAAGCCCTGTAGAAGCAAACCGAGCTGTGTTCGCGGTAGGAATGTTTTCTTAATTCCTCTACTGACAAAACAGTGAAAATAATGAGGCATATTATTTATAACAGATTTATTTTTTACACTTACAGGAACAACATTACACATCTACAAACAAAGCTCATTAAAATCTAAACATGCTCACAAGGCCGTAAGTACTTGGTACTTGTCTACTTTCTCCATTTGTGGATCCTTGCTCAGAGAACAGGGTACCTTAAGGCACTGGGAAATCTATAGGTTCTCCAAGCCAAAGCTAGTTTAACCACTCTTTTAATTTTAGAATACATTACTAAAATGGCAAAAAAACTCAGCTACTCATGAAAGACTATGGCTGGGGTACCAAACTTTCTACGAAGAATACTGGGGAGAGTCCGAGCAAGCCTGTAGAGCTGACATTAAATAAAGGAAATGGGGCGAGAGGAATTAGATACAGGTAAGTCCAACAAGGCAGGAAGCCCCAGAGGCGCAGGGGGAAAGGGCTCGCTCCGTCCTCACTAACTGAAGTGGCGGAGGTTTGAATTCAGCAGCCACTCTGGGGGAGAAGCGATGGCAGTCAGCTTGGGTGCAGATGACGGGCTATGGAGCCTGTTTTCCTCTGTCCGATAGGGTCTCCTGAGAGTGACTTGGCCGCGATCGGTTTTGTGTAGGAAGAGAAAGGACAAAAGAAAACACTTTAAGAAAAAAGGAAGAGAACGCTAACTGTCTTGAAAGGAGAAGAGAAAGTGAAAAGGTAGCTCAAAAGGTAAAGAACAGAAGACTGATGGACATGTCGTGATGTGAAGCTACTTGGAACAGCGTTTCTATCCAAAGTCTTTGTTACTCCCACCCAGGGACTTGGGAGAAGCCTGCAGATAAGGGAAACAGGACTCTAACTCAGGGATTAGCCGGTTTTCCCATTCTACTCGGTATAAAGTGAGCCAATTCAGAAGCAGGATCAGAGGAATTCCGCCACCATCAAAGAAGAGCCATGCACTTAATTCTGGCCTCAATCTAAGAACAATGAGTTCTTCTGACAGGCCCTACTCAACACTTGTCCTCATAAACAGACCACTGAAGCTATGGATCCTATAGCAAAATATGATGAAGAGAGTAGATGGTGCCCGGCTATCAGAAAGAACAGTATCTGGGGTCTTAAAGGCTTTTCTTAAAACAAGCAGCTCTCTAAGTGACATGTAGTTGACACAAATGCCAACTAAGCCCACATGGAAGAAGCACACCAGCCTATGTGATCCAAGGATTATAAACAATAAAATCCAGATCCAAAGCAGGGAATGGTATTAGAGCTTAAATTCTGAGCACCCGGTTTGCAGAAGGCATTGGATGACAGTAGAAGCACGAAATCCATTCGCAAGGTCCCCACTTGGATTAAACCTCCAGGCCTCCCCTCTGACCACAGTCCAGGGATGTGAACAGTCTTGCTAGCAGACAGAAAGCATTGTAAAGTTGATTATGGCAGGTACGGTGAGGCTGAAATATAATATTCATTTGATCTCCTTTTAGACCCATTTTTAAATTGTTTCAGTTTTTAATATTTTCTGCTTTCTTTTTGCAGTTTTTCTCTTTTGTGTCTAATCATTGTTATTTGTTTGTTTGCTTCGTGTTTGTGTTTTGTATGACTTTCTGTATATGAAATCCAAGATATGATTTCTATAGGTAAATCGATAGTGATGGGGTTTCTATAGGTAAATCTATAGCTACAGTAACTAAATTAACAATTACCCAGGGGGATGGCAGGAAAGTTTGGGGGGGAAATGGGGAGCTTAACAACAATGAGTATAAGAAGAAAATGTTGTGGAATTGATTGTGGTGATTGCACAACTATTCTTAATATGATTACACCATTAAAGTGTATGGTATGTGAAGTATATGCCAATAAAACTTTTTTTTTCTTAAGAAGAGCAATGATCAGAGTGTGTGCAAGATCCCTTCCAGAAATATCCGAGTCAATGAGGACATCAGAGGTCCTCGTACCGAAACCACGAAACAGCAGTGGGCTGACTGCATGAGCCAAGGTGACTCCCTCTGGGCCAGAGTCTGGCTTGCAGAGT